ATTCCTTTTTCTTGCAATAATCTTCACTTGCCTCTGGATATGGCACGATATGGTCATTACTATCTTCAGCCTCTCCCCATATTATGTTCGTAAGCTGAAAAGATAGTGAGTAAGCATCATCACTAAATGTGGGATACTTGAGAACAATGAAACAGTCGCAAGTTAAGCTCTGGGATACATGAGAAAATACTAAAATGAGTTGGGAACAAAATATTTAATTGATTTTATGCAGAAAACACTAAAATGTTCTAAATTGCGTTAAAAATAAAATAGAAAGTAGAAGCCATTGGCATGATTCATTTAGAAATTTCAACAAAATTAAAAAAGAAAAGAAAAGAAAGGGAGGAGATGGCCCAAAGCATGCTCTTAATAAGATGAAGACAGACCTAAAGCTTCATTGCATGTACAGAGCACTTTGGAAACTTCAGTCTGGACAAATAAAACCCAGGCAAAGTATCTTCTTTTTGGAACTAATTTCTTCACAGTAAGATATAATATATAACGCTACCTGCATCACTTTCTCACGGTCCTCTCTGACTCGAGTGATCATAAACCTTCTCAAATCCAATTTAAAGAAGATTCCCTTTCTCACTTTTCGTTGGTATTATTTGACATCCAGATCACAACCAAACCTCACCAATAAGTGTGTCACCGGAGAAAGAAACTTAGGTGCCCTAACAGACAATATTTTATAGCTGTACATCTATAATCAAAGTAAAAGGCCAAGATTCAAAATATCCAAAAGAAATATTACCTACTTATATGCCAAAAATGGCCGAAACTCTGAATCCTGAATATGTGAATCAAAGGTATCTCTAACTGATGCACCATCAGCAGTCTCATATTTTGAATTCTGATTAGTGACCTAGTAGTTCACGTCAACAACATTATTAAAAGGTCCCTAGCGAACACAAGTTTGAATTTCAGACCCAGCAAGAAGAAGTACATTTTCCAGTAGGCATGCATATCACCTTTTTATCAATATCCATGGAAGACAAACCAAGCAATATCAAGTTTTTTTGCTAATTTTTAATGACCTAGCATTATTGAAAGGTCCCTGGTGAACATAAGTTTGAATTTCAGACCCAGCAAGAAGAAGTACATTTTCCAGTAGGCATGCATATCACCTTTTTATCAATATCCATGGAAGACAAACCAAGCAATATCAAGTTTTTTTCTGCT